GCCCGCGGGCAGGACGGCGGCCACCCCGCCTGGTGCTGCTGCTGCCGCTCCAGGCCTTGGCCAGGTGGCGGTGTGCGTCGCCAGACGGTGTGCGGCTGTGGCCGGGCCCCCGGGCAGACAGCGGCATCATCCCTCCCAGGCCCGCACCGGCACCAGTGGCCTCGCCGGGGCCGGCGCCGGCGCCGGGGCCAGCCGCGATCTTGCGGCCCAGCAGGTCGCGCTGCGGCAGGGCGGTGAGGGGCCCCGCCGCTGCGGTGGTGGCGGAGGAGGGGGCGCCGGCGCCGGCGCGCTGCGCGGCCAGCTGCCGCTGCACCTCGGCCGCAAGGCTGGGGCCTGCGGGGAAGGGGTGGGGGCACCAGTGCGGGGCGAGACTTAAGTGGCGTGTGGCGGGTGCAGGCCTGGGCTCAGGAGGCAGCGTGTGGTGTCAAGCTGTCGCCCAGGAGCAATGCTGACAGTAGCACACCGCCATCCCACACCCCAATACCAAGGGGGAGCGTCCCCTCGGCCCCCAAGCAGCCGCACGCCCCTTGTCCCTTGCCCTCCCACCACGCACCCGCGGCCCCGGTCACGGTGCGGTGGTAATCCTCCCAGGCCGCCTGCCCGCGCGGCGCGGGCGTTGCCAGGCGGTGCTGCCTGCTGCTGCCGGGGCGCGGCGTGGCGGCGTGCAGGCCCGCCGCGGCGGCGGCCGCGGCCGCAGGGTGCTGGCTCAGCGCCTCTGCAGGTTTAGGGTCAAAGGGGAAGCACGGGCGGCACGAGGGGTGGGGCAAGGCATGGGGAGCGGCAGCAGCAACAGCAAAGGCTGTGGCGAGGCAGGGGCGTCGGGAGTGGTGCTGCCGAGCAGCTTGGCGCACCATTGGAGGGCGAGGGGCGCACGCCGCCGGGCCGCGGCGGCCGCCGCACGTCGCCCGAGCTGCCAAACGGCGGCACCTTGCGCTGCAGCGGGCCGCCCGCGACGGCGGTACCGGTGGTACCGGCGCCACCTGGCTCCATGCTGCTGGACCGGCTGGTGCCGGCCTCCGAGGCAGGCCCCGCCTCCAGCTGCTCTGCCAGCTGGCGCTGCAGAGAGCGGCCCAGGGCTGCCGGCATTGTGGAATAATGGTCGGCCCCTGCCGCCTGCCCGCCAGCCGCGTCACCCCGCGGCGCGGCGGGCTGGATTTCCTCGGCGGCGGCGGCAGCGGCACCGCCCCGCGCCTGGCTGGTCGCCAGCTGCTGCTGCAGCTGGCGCTGCAGGTCCCGCCCAGCTGCTGCAGGCAGGCTGGAGTAGTACGCCGCAGGCAGATCCTGGCTGGGAGCTGGCTGCTGAGGCTGGCCGCTTGCCACGCCCTGCTGCTCCTGGTGCGGCGCAGCGCCCGCGGCTGCGGTGGCAGCCCCTGCCGCAAACTGCTCCTGCTTGAGCTGCTGCGCCAGCTGGCGCCCCACGGCCGCAGGCAGGCTGCTGTAATAGCCCAGGTGCAGGTCCTCACCGCCGGCGGGTGGCTGCAACGCAGGCTGCTGATGTGGCGAGGCGGGCTGCCCCGCCGCGCCGCCTGCCGCCGCCATCTCATGCCGCAGCTGGGCGCCCAGCTGGCGCCCCACCGCCGCAGGCAGGCTGCTGTAATAGCCCAGGGGGATGTCTGGCGGCGGCGCGTGCGCCGCTGTACCGGACGCCCCTGCTGCCCCTGCTGCTGCGACTGCTGCTGCTGCGGTGACTGGAGAGGCGCCGGCATCGGAGCTGGCCGCAGGTGCGAGCGTGGCAGCCGGCGGCGGGTGTGGCAGCGGTGGCCGCGGCGGCGGCTCAGGCGCCTCCTGCAGCTGCTGGTGCAGCTGCTGCGCCAGCTGGCGCCCCACCATCGCCGGCATGGAGCTGTAGTACAGCTCGTCGGAAGAGGCGGTGCGGGTGTGCCCCGTCGGCGCCTCGCTGGCGCTGCCCGCCGCGCCCGCTGCCAGGGTCCCGCTGGGAGCAGGGCCCTCGGCAGCCAGCGAGGCTGCCGCCTCCTGCAGCTGGTGCTCATGCAGCTGCCGCGCCAGCTGGCGCCCGACGGCGGCAGGCATGGAGCTATAATACAGCTCGGCGTCGCCGCCCGCCTCGGAGGCGGGCGCCGAGCCCTCGGGCTGCTGTTGGTGCCAGCCCACCTGCCCCTGCGCCGCCTCGGGCTGCACCTGCTGCTGGTGCTCTGTGATGGTCTGCAGCGAGCCGGAGCGGTAGAAGGTGCCGGCGCCGGCGCCGCCAGACGCGGACTGCGCCAGCGGGGACGGCGGCGCCTGCTCGGCATCGGCGCCGGGCGTGAAGAGGGAGCCCAGGGCGGGGCGCCGCTGCTTCTGGCTCTGCTGCAGCTGGCGGATGAACAGAAGGTTCTCGGCGCTCAGCTCCTCCTCGTCCCCCTCCTCATCCCCCGGCGCCGCCGCTGGTGGTTTGGGCGCTGGTGCCGCTGCCGCTGCTGCCGCCGCACGCATAGGCGAGCCTGCTGCAGGCGCCGTCACAACGACGGCGGGGCTGGCGGCGGTGGCGGCGACGCTGGGCATGCCGCCAGGAATGCCGCCTGGCAGGGCCGCTGCCGCAGCGCCCGAGGCCCGCGCGAGCGCTGCGCCTGCCATGGTGGCCGCGCCGGCCACGGCGCCGGCGGCCGCTGCCATGGAGGCTGCGCCCGGGGGCTGCCGCAGCCCCATCTCAATGTCCTGCTCGCCGCCCGCCGGCTTGCCGGCGCCATCCTGCAGGCGCACAAGGAGGGCGGCAGGGTCGGCAACAAGCAGGCGGAGCGAGCCGGCAAGGAGGGAGACCGGCGGGCACGCCTCTCCCTCGCCGCTCCTGCACAGCGTGCGGCCCCAAGCCGGCAGGCAGGCGCGCGGCAAGCCACCCAGCAGCCGGAAGCCCGCAGGCCGGCACACCTCGGAGCCGATGCTGTTGCACTGCGGCGCCACCGCGCCCGAGCGCAGCTGCTGCGAGTGGTGTATGAAGGGGCACTCCTCCACCACCTCCCCCAGCACCTCCCCCGCCGACCCCTCGCTGTCCAGAAAGAGGCGGTCGGGGTCGGTGACGGGCCTGGCGCCGCCACCGCCGCCCCGGCTGCTGCCCTCGCTGCCATACTCTTCCGTGTCTGACTCATCAAAGTCTGCGGCAAGCAGGGGGGCAGGCAGGCGGGGGAGGCGGGGAAGGAGAGGGCGTGGCTGGTGGCCGGAGGTGTGAGGGCAGGAGGGGGCAGGAGGATGCCCGACTGCAGCCCCCCATGCCG